TCATATTTTACTTTATTGTGTTTTCTGATATAGCAACACAGTATTTTGTTGGTGTTTTTCTTAAAAATAGCATGTTAAAGGACAGTATTAATTTTACTAAAACGCTGGCAAATATATTCTGCTGAAATGCAATCTTAATCATTTCTAAATATCGAACCCAGAACATGCTGCTTAGGCCCGAGATAATTCTTTCTGGCACTGGGTGTAATATTTTCGTTCAAGAGCAATTATGAACGCCTTTTAGCAGAATTAAGAAAAAATAATACTTGCCAGGCGTTGAAAACAAGTGACCAATTTGTAAATGACGACTGAAAAATGATTTAAATCATTTTTAAAGTTTTACAAATTGCGAAGCCATTTATGTCAACAGAGCTGCCCTTTTAATATGTTTCAAAAATATTATTATCTAAAATGAGCCCGATATTTTTGGCGAGAGAGATCATAAAGCCTGTCCCTGTTCGAAAGGTTCTAAATTCAATTCTGAAATGCAATAATGTTAATTCTAGAACTTAATTGTATCATATTATAATATTGTTATTTTTTTAGGTCATCTACAACATATAAGTTTGTAAGCATTTAAAGCAAAAATAGTTATTTACATAGGCCTACTTTTAATTACAACATCGTCCACTTGGTAATGGCGCAGCATGCATGATATTTTACACAAGATAAAGACTGCTAATAATTTTAGAAGAATGCTGATATAATTCAGTTGTATCCTATTATAGGAGATCAAAAATTATTATATCCCATAATTATTCAAACTAGTTTGCAAAAATATTTTTCATGTGTGTTTTTCAGTTTGTATTATTACATTTAAAACAATTATTATAGATGATATCATAGGCCTGGACTTCAACACAACAACATAAATTATCTCACACTTCCTGACAAACACACCCATTTGCGCGCGAGTGAGGAATGTTTTGGAATGGAAGCACGCGGGCGCACGCGACAGGGTTACAGGGGAAAAAAATCAAAACATCCCTGTTGAATCTGCTAAAACCCCGTGTATCACTTTTTGATAACAAATAAATAAATACATTGCAGATAATAGCAGTTCAATTTGGATTTAATATTTATATGTGTATGCATTTCACGTATATATTTTACCTTTAAAAATATGATAACAAAGTGTTTCGTTAAGCCATAAATAAGGCTTGGGGACACGTTTCTGTGTTTTTTGTTTGGGATATATGTAGCCTATCTGTAGGCCTACCTACTTTTTATTTAGTATAATTATTCTTATTAATATAATAAAGTAAGGACTCCTAACGTAAGGACTCCTAACGTTGTTGCCTAATGGCCTTCTTTTAATTCCAGTATAGGCCTATCAGTGCAAAAATACAGCAGGCCTGTCCAAAACAAAACTGGACACGTATCGACCAAACGTATTGCTAGTGCTATCGTAAACAATACAATGCTAAACAGATAAACAAGACGAGAATATATTAATTGTTGTGACCACACATCGCGTCAGCCTGTTTAAATCTAAAGACTTAAGGTCAGCCTCTCACCTTCAGCATGTATCTGTCCAGGATCTCCTGACCGCAGCTGGCGCACACGTTCTTCCCGTCTGACGGCACCGAGCTGGCGGTGGAGATCGGCGAGCACACTGAAGGGCTGGAGGGGCTGCTGGGTGGGGAGTGGGTGTCCTCCGGCTCCATGTTGGACCGCTGGGACTCTCCGTCCGAGTGAGACTGCAAGAGGGCATCAGCACAGCTCAGTAACACACACACACAGTCATCCCCACAGGCTGTTTGCAGTAGTCAAAATGCAGTCGATATCAATCAATGCGCGTAGGCTCAGAAATGCAAAATATGATGAATCCTATCTTTAACGTGCAGCGGATGCACCCAGACCAAGGTGTCACCAATGTGCAATAAGCGCACCAAGTGACATTTTAAAAGCATTAATAGGCAATAAAGCTCTCACCATTGGCGCGTGGTTAGAGTCCACAGTGCAGCGCGAGGCTCCCGGTGTACTCTGATGCTCGGTGGAGATCACCTATAAGACAACGTTCAGTAAACGGGAAGTCTTCATCACTTTAACGGTCTCATCCTCAGCTGGGAAATCCTCCGGAGACATTTGCACACAGCTCTTCAGGACTAGTCCTATATAAAGTGGTCCTGACAATAAACCCCGGTTAAAATAGTTAAAAGGGCCCCCGCAACAAAAGGCACATTTTAATGAAGCTATTTCAATTTGGATTGATTTTTCCCTGCCCTTAACCCGTGCCTCTCAGAATAATAGTATTTTCTTCGCAATCCAGGACACGAAGAGTGGAGGGGGAAAAACTACCTGTAATTACAAATAGCTTGAAACGCTGTGGATAAGAGGGACCCGGAGTGTCAATTTCAACTGTCAATCAGAGAAAGGCAACGGGTCACCCAAAGAATTGCAAATTTGATTTTTAATGGCTGTAATTAAAATCCAATTCTTCTCAGGCGAATTGGCACCGCTCGAGAGGCTCGCGGACCGCAAATCACGCTATTCATAACAGAGAGGCGCGTGCCTCTTCACAGCGGCTGGCGCGTGCAGCTGATCTCAGTACACAAGCAGTGATTCTTATGACATCACAGAGAGACAAAACTAAACTAACGCACAATGCTGCGGGCTGCAAATAAACTGCATGCATTTGCAACAACAGATAGATCCACTGAGCAATGAGAAAATAAGAAGAAATTGTTTGGTGAATCAAAATGGTTTCATATTGAGGTTACACCAAATATCGCTATTTTTAAGCCAGCACATAAAAAGCTGATTTAGTCTAAACCAAAACAGAAGGCCCACATTGCATTAGTGGGGTATCAATGAAACGTTTACGCACAAAGTTGGAGCTCAGTCGTGTCCTAAGTGTTAGTACCTGCTTCTTGGGAATTCCTTCGGACAAAATCTTGTTTCCCTCTGAAAGAGGGGACAAAAGTTCATTTTTCCAGTACATGAACCCCTGCAGTCTCACAGCGTACAGTGTATCCAAACTCGGCGCGTGGAATCAGGAGAAGGCTCGGCGATGGGCGTCAAAACTTGAACCATCCGTATGGGTTCGGGTGTAATGGGCGCACCGTTTTGTTTTTGACGCGAAATGCTCTGTGTCTGTGCGCGACGATCTGCCGCTGTCACACATTAAGTTATGGAGCTTTGCAGAGGCGAGGAGTTGTTGGTCCTCCTCGGAGAGCCTTATTTAGAACAGAAATAGTTCCTTTCCCCGTTTCCCACTCTCTCCACTTTATCGAAGGAGTCTGGCTACAGGAAGTGAATGAAATGAAGGGGCTGGCAGCTTTTACTCCAAGGCTTCATAGGTGCAGGGAGGCTGCAGGGCTGCTATAGTCGACGGCAGCGCAGAGAACCAGAGTGCAGTGAAAGTTTGTGCCGCTCTGGCATGCCTTATAGTTAAAGAAGGGGGAGGGTGAGAAAGAGTTTCATATGCGTGAGAAGGGTGGACACACTTTGGAGCAGTTATGACAGAAACTTATTCAAACTCTGCTGTCGAATGTGTGATATCTCAGACATTTATAGCTGCTGCCAGAGGAAAAAATGTAAATTATAGTTATTCATAGAATTGCCATTTACTTGCTACTGGACATATACAATGGCTGTATAGGTTGTAACGCAATAATTAACCGGAATACAGACCTTTTTATATATACACAGCGTTCTCATATATATTATATATATATATATATATATATATATATATATATATATATATTCAGGCTTAGAATATAAACTACAACACAACAAATAATAATGATGCCTGAAAAATACATTAAAAAAATCCTAATACATTTACTTAAATCCCATGTTGCAAAATAATTCGTCATTTAATTAATTAGAGTGGTGTATTTATGGAACTGCTTGCTTATTATCATCATGATTCAAGGCTTAATTTTTTTTATATTAAAATGCTTTCGTTATAACATTAATTTCAAATATTTATGTGTACAATTAAAGTTAATGAGTAGTAGACAATAATTAGCAAGGCAGAAAAACGAAAGGACTAAATGGCCTAATTTAAGGATTAACAAAAAGGGTTTTTACCCATAGGTTTATTGTGACACCATTGTTTAAAGATATATTATGGGCAGGGAGAAACAGAATTTTTAATTTTTAAATGTTGTGAGAGTAGGGCTGAGGCAGAATAAACTAAAACCCACAAAGTGTTTTAACGAAGGGAAGCCTGGTGATTGCAGGATCCGTGTGATCAGCCCACACACAGCTTTACATCGACGCGTCAATAAGGCTATCTACAAGGATCCAGCAATTATCTGTAAATCTATAATGCAGAAATTATCCCATCAAAATAAACCAAGCCAAAAGCAATTAAGAAACGTCTTCATCATTCCTGGGGAGAACTGGATTTGAAAGATGTAATCAATTGAAATTATAATTGAACGGATAGGCCTTTTATTGCAAACAGATAAAAACACACACTACAAAGAAAACGGTTGATCAGAAATTGCTGCAGGTTGATTTTACGAGGGAAAAAAAGGCTGACATGTCAAGAGGTAGGATTTGATTTGTACGCTGCGCATGAAATGATGCTCTCTTATCTCAACTTGTACAATTAATCGGCCGATTTCCATCCCTCTTGAAATGTTATTTATCCACAGAAGTTTTCATCTTAAACTTATTAAAAATGGTTCTGCAAATATGGTTTGCAAATTCTTTCTTCTCACAAACTTAATTATGCTATATTTCGCCAACATATTGTGTCCATTTTTCTTTACCCTCTTTTCATCTTAAGGAGAATTTTAACACCTGATGGAAAATACAACTTGGATCGCAACAAAAGTTTGCTCCATGTAAACACAGAAATCCATAACAAACGTCACATTTGAAAACACAAAATATTAAAACGGCACAATTTGATAGAATGCAAATCAACAAAACAGTCAGTATCCATCAGGTCTGGGGAAATCTGGGACTCTAAGCATAATGAACGCCATATTAAGCAGGATGATCAGTTATTACAGAAAGCATTGGTACATTTGTCATTACTCTTGATAATCTACAATGTTTTTTTTATTTCTGTCATAGTTCTGAACTGCATTTTTTAAAACCATGCCGGATTAATGGTTTAAAATTGTAGTCCACAAAAGGTTCTCATTAATGAGATGCAGATGTTTTTCTCCAAATTCCTTACAAAAACTATTTGACTATTCCAGCAAAAGCATGTGGACGAGAGCATTGTAATGTTATTGACTAAACAATAAAATGGCATAAAACAACAGGCTGCAGATGTTATATTTATTAGCCTTTAATAGGAATATTAAAGGGAACTTCCAAAAAATATATACAGAAAATAAACAAAGTCAGTAAAAAAGAGTTTGAATACAGTCTTACAAAATTGAAAAAAAAGCAAACTATTAGGAAAAGAGCAATGTCACACAAAATACTGCAACACACCGCGTTGCTGAGTGGCTTACTATTCAAACTCCAAGGATACAAACCTGTTACAAATATTTGCATGTCTTCCTCTTCATTGAAGTCTTGATTAAAGAAAATTGTATTTCACCTTTAAATAAACCCTCCGAAAGTAAAAACATGTCGCAACCAATAAGACAATCAGCATTTAGACTCTTTTATAATAATATCATTTTTCTTTTCTGGCCGCTCTGGGTCACATGACTCACAGCTGCTGATTCAAATCTCTGCCAAAGCGAGAACGCAGACGTATAAGATCCCACCTGCACATCTGTCAGGTATGGGGCATATGTTAAGAGTAAATAATAACTGTAAAATAACTGAAAACACTTTTGGTACTTGTCCGTGATTGCTGCGATTACTCCCAAAGAGTTCTTGGTTCTCAAAGTATTTTCAAAACCTTTCATAGGCTGTGTATAGTCTTTATAGTATCTGGTGTGGAGTCAGTTTGTGTGTAGATGGGGGCTGAAGTGTGTCGACGGAATGGGGGCGGGGGGGATCTCCAGAATGAGTGGGATGGGTCATCTCCTAAACCTGCGGAAGGGCCTGCTCTGGTTGTTGTGTGATTTAGAGTAGGGCTCCCAGCGTTTCCTCTCTGGCGGTTTGTTGTAAACGTAGGCCGACGGGCCCGAGTAGTCATCCTCCGGATTCTCGTCCATCATCTGGAGCTTGGCCTCGATGGCACGGATCTTAGCACTCGTACTAGAGGTAAAACACAAAAATAGCAAAAAGAGGAGAGAGAGAGAGAGAGAGAGAGAGAGAGAGAGAGAGAGAGAGATGTTAGCTGCGAGGCTGAGGGGAAAATACCAGAGTGGGAGCTGAGGGCCGGACTGAGTGATGGACAGATCTTGGCTCTCGGCTGAGTGGAAAATGAGAGGAGGTATTAGCACTCCTAGGAGAGGGAGGGACAGATGCAGGGGGTGGGGGGGGAGCACAAGCAAAAGATTACCAGTTGTGCTAAGAGATAGAGGAAAACTTGTATCTCAACGGTGGAACAGAATTTTGAGGAGCAAGAGAGAAAGATTACAGAGCAAGGGAGAAGAAGAGAGACTGAGGGAAGCAGGGTAAATAAAAAGGGAAAAGGGGGAAAGAGTGTTTATACTTCCTCTCCTGCGCTGTGAGGAGTGAGGGATTTTGAAGTTTACAATAGAACTGGAGTGTGGAGACTTTTTAAACGAGTATCTTTATAGCTGATAACTTGCTACACATGGGATTGTCTCAGAGTTGATGTTATAAGCACAAGAGGCCATTAACAGACTTCAGTGCCATTTGACTGGCACACTTGTTGATTCAATGTTTCAAGTGTTGGTCCGGTTGTACTCGGATGAACTCAACTTGAAATGCCATTTGTGGTGAAAGCAATAAGTTCTCCAATAATGATTTCAGGAACAAGCTTGAGTTTGTTCTGGTAGTCCCTAAAGTGACCAGAAACTACATCCACACTCAGCTGTCTAAATCGGAAAATGACATGAACACAGTTTGATGTCCTTCCAAGATGAAACACCAAAACAGAAAGTAAAATAGGTACATATTTCTTATGTTATTTTTATATAACATCTAGTAAGGATTTGGACAGACAGACCAGTTAGTTGTCAGATAAGCAAATGATTAAACCTCTGTTGTTGTCTCCACCATGGTATTAGGTGTTTCACAATCAGATGGACAGTGAAGTAATTAACATATTTCTGCTTCTGCTGTTAGACAACTGGACAAAAGAAAGCTACTAGACCAATAAGCCCACAGTGATCAGTCCTTCTTTGTTGGTTTTTTGTTGGAAAAGCAAAAAACTGTGATTTAGTTGACTCAACTTACTCTGGGAAGAATTAAAAAAGGCAAACAACTTCAGAATAGCAAACTAGGAACAAGGGTGTTAACTGTGTTTTGTACCAACCTGAGGTGGTTGGCACTTACGGGTCCATCGTCTGCCCCCCCGCTGCTCGATGGCTCCAGGCTCTGAGGCATCGTCTTGTCATTACGGAAACCTTCAAACCTCTGGTGACAAAACAAAATGTCCCACACAAACAGTGATGGAAACATGGAAGGACGGAAAGATGGAGAGAGACAAAAGGGTAAAATAAGAGAAGAGCCTTATGCAGGGACACAGAGACGCATGGAGAGTCGCAGCTAAACACAAAAACATGAAGTTACTGCATCACAAGTGATTTTAAAGATTAGGACTTCAAATGGATCATATAGTAATGTGTTTTCAGCACATTTGGGTACAGTCACACCTGGTTTTTAAATATTTTAGAGGAACAGTGCCACGTAATGAGTAGAAAAGGAAAACATCCTGTAAACCAGACATTCACAAACCATCAGAGCTCCTAATAAACACTGACAGCCGTTCTCTGGAGGGCCAACTCCAGCTTCCTCCCAAAACATCAACATTATTAAAGTGAAGTATTGATTTTGTTTGTGTCTGCTCCAACAGACAGTAACCGAGCAGGACTGTGCGTCCAGCTCATAATCACACCCTGAGGCATGAGGGAGGATAAAGAGGGAGCAGCTGAAGAGCAAAAAGCAACGTCTGCACTCATTCCTTTCAAAAAACCACCTTCCAAACATCTCCACCAGCCAACACAGAACTCTTGAAACCTGTGAAGAAAAAAAAAAAGACAAAAAAAAGACATGATGGGAGTGAGGAAACTGTGATGATTTTGGTGCAGCAGCTACAGCCATTTGATTAGAAGTCAGTTGGTGTGAGTATCATTTAATCAGGTTACATAAACGCACTCACAAATATCTAACATATTGTTCATGAAATAAATAACACGTATGGCCAAGAATAGGTCGAAAACAATGGCCGCTCCATCAGCCAGGACCCTTCCCTTCCACATTACTAAAGGCATGTAGATCAGGACATACTGAATCTGAACAACAGCCAACGCGTAAGTAAATAGAGAATGAAGTTAAAAATACTTCTTGTTGTTCCAGTTGTGGTACTTGTATTTAATAACCTACACTATAACAAGACGGAGCTACTTCAGAATTGAAAGCTTGATTAAAGATTCAAATAAGTGTTTAATGTGTTTTTTAGAGGGTTAGAGGTGATGACAGTTTCACATACCATGAATATGACAAGCATAACACACAACTTTGCTAAAACGGTGTATGTCTACATATATATCATTTGACATTAATGCATAAGGACACAGTTGTTTAACCGTTGGAGAAGCAGATGGTAAGAGAAATGGGTGTTTGAGATGAGTTTGGAAAAAACACTTTCATCAACGTGAATTCATCTTTTTCAAAAGCTAAATAATAGAGTCAAGATGTAAGACTGGAAATGACACATCAACTCCTAACGTAAGCTTTCTCTGACTCACTTATCCCAGCAATCCACCTCTGGGTTGGAAAGAGAGGCATTAAAAACCATCTATCACTTTCAAGCTGGCCCCAAGTGGGGAAATTGCTCTAATCTTACATGCGTGTAACTTGTACATCTTATTTTTATATCCCAAAGCAGCACAATCACAGATGGTGTCAGACAATGAGAGGATAGTTTTGATCTAGCTTATGAATGCATATAATGGGATGAAATGAAGCATTCACCTTCATCAGCTGGGACAACGACCAGAAAAGGTTGGTCCACAGGGGAAAGCTTGACAGAAACAAATCCCTTCGTGTGATGCACCTTTGCTAAAACCTGGCTGATGTGTTTGCAGCATCATATTAACTATGTGTTGGATTTGAGCGTGCTTTAAAAGACCGTAACACAGATTTTGACAACCGTGAACATCTTATGGCTGATTAAAGATTAGAGTCCACTTGCAGGTGTAAAGGAAGAACCTGCATAAAGTGTCCTCATCAGACACCATGAGTAAGGCAGTTGAATTGTTTTGTATAGTGTCACGATCAAACTGTGATTGTACATTTGTGATAATTTATTAACACAAACATTATAGGTATGTAACAAAATAAATGACCCGCTAAAATTACAAAGTTATAAATAAGTTTTGACAAACTTTATCCCACTATGTGTTGTCTTAGAGGCGGCAGCATTGACCCAGACCTCCCCCTACTGAGTGTGTGTGTGTGTGTGTGTGTGTGTGCTGTGTGCTCGTGTGTGTGTGTGTGTGTGTGTGTGTGTGTGTGTGTGTGTGTGTGTGTGTGTGTGTGAGAGACAGTGTTGTGTGTATTGTGTGTGTTGTGTGTGTTGTGTGTGTTTAGTATGTTGTGTGTGTTGTGTGTGTTGAGGTGTGTGTTGTGTGTGTTGAGGTGTGTGTTGTGTGTGTGTTGAGGTGTGTGTTGTGTGTGTTGTGTTGTGT